CTTTGATAGTCTGCAGGGCAGAGCCTTTCAGAGGTCCTTTGTGGCAGATTTCTAGGTTGTTTCCTGTTTTCTTCTTCTGATGTCCATCCTCTTTGCCTTTCAGGATGGGGATTGAGCATTTTAGTCAGGGTCCTCTCTCTTGATTAGTTTCTTTAGAGGTATAGATTTTAGTAGGTTTATCTTGTTATATGTCTATATGAGTAAGTATATATACCATGTGTGTCTTTCTGCTTCTGGGACAGCTCACTCAGGATGATCCTTTCCAGATCCCACCATTTACCTGCAAATTTCATGATTTCCTTATTTTTCATTGCAGAGAAGCAAGCAGGAGTAGCCATTCTAATATCTGATAAAATAGACTTTCAACCAAAATTAATAAAAAGAGATGGGGAAGGACACTTCATACTCATCAAGCGAAAATTCCACCACGAAGGCATCACAATCCTGAACATCTATGCCCCAAATACAAGGGCACCCATATTTGTAAAAAAAACATTGATAAAACTTAAACCACACATAGATCCCCACACATTAATAGTGGGAGACTTCAACACCCCACTCTCAACAAAGGAGAGGTCAACAAAACAGAAATTAAACAAAGAAACAATGTCTCTAACAAGGTCATGAAAAATGGACCTAACAAACATTTACAGAACCTTACACCCAAACACAAAAGAATTTACCTTCTTCTCAGCACCTCATGGAACCTTCTCCAAAATAGACTATATAGTTGGTCACAAAGCAAGCCTCAACAGATACAAGAAAATTGAAATAATCCCTTGTATCCTGTTTGATCACCATGGAAGAGCAACAATCAATAAATGGGTAGGAATTTTTTAATCCAAGATACATTTATCTTTAAATTGTATATGGCAGGTCACCATACTTCCAATGTTAAAGACTGTCATGGCTGCCGTTCCAAAAGAAGTTCATGAAAATTTCAATTTTCGTGAAATTTGAATTAAATTAAATTGACAGTATCTTGAAGTCTTAGGATGAGGATACTCCTTTTTTTTTTTTTTTTTTTTTTTTTTTCTGTAACTTATTCTGAAATGACATCACAGCAAATTCTGTTTTGGAGCATCTCCTACTTGCCCAAGAGCTGATCATTAATTTTAGGAATTTTGCATACTGATGGCTTAAATAGCCATATCTATGAAGTATGGCACATGGGATTACAATTAAAAAACTAGTATATGTCTTTACAGATTTCCCCAAAATCTGTGTTCAATGATATCACATTGTTAGCTTGAAATTATCCACAGTAAAAAATATTTACAGAGATTGGCAGATGCCATAAATCAGGGCTTGATTACATATTGATTCTCTAGACTTACAATGATGAAAATACTACTAATGTAAATGTGTCATGTCTTACTATATTGTGGATAGCTTAAAAAATGAAGAATCACTCTTCCATCATTCAAAGTAGTTATCCACTTGATCAAAGGAGTCACTTACTGTAGATATCATTGATATAAATAACCAACACTCTGAAATGCACTTGGTGAGCTTGTTGGTAATTTACCACCACATTGCTTGTTATGACCCAATTAAATTTCGTATTTAAGTAGGAAATAGGCAATATAAGTTTATTAAATTGCTTTTTCAATTTAAAACTTAGTATTATGATGTATGATCATAAGAAAAAGGTATTGTTTTCGAAACCATTCACTACAGCGTACAGTTTTAAAGTACATAATTTGAGGATCTTAATAGTCTAGTTACAGATTAGAGATAGTAATATGATTTAGAAAGATGCTTAAAATTAGACCATCTTTGTTGTAAATAGACATGCTTTCTCTAGTGTATGTCAGTCATTTAGATGTATTAGTTTTTAGTGGAAACAATTATTACCTGATAATAGCATTGGAGAAATCTAGAAATAAAGGATTTTGTTTTACTTTGCTCTGTTTTCTCTTTCATTGAGTTAAAACTGTTGCTTCCTTTAATTTCTGTCAGTTGATTCTAAAGAAACATAGACACATAGAAATGTGGAAGACAAATGTTGTCTCTTATGTAGAGCAGCTGGTCCTCAGGTGTAATGTTAGCTGTGATGCTTCATTTAATTCCCTTTGGCAAGAAACATCTTTGCTTAGTTCTTCTAATCATGCATTTTTTTTTCCTCCATGCTAAGAGTGTGTTGCTTTTTTTTTTTTTTTTAACTTCCTCATCACAATTTTTTTTTTTTTTTTTTTTACCTTGTGGCTGTAATAGAAGCCTTCAGATAATTCTTTGGATAGATTTTACAAAAGTAAATTTTCTATTAGATTTTTAAAAATACTATTTATTTTATTTACATCAGTGTTTTGCCTTCCATGTATTCCATGTATGTGTGTGTGAGGGTGTCATATCCTCTGGAACTGGAATTATAGACAATTTTGAACTGTCATGTGGGTGCTGAGATTTGAACCTAGGTCCTTTGGAAGAGCAGCCAGTGCTCTTAACTGCTGAGCTATCTCTCCAGCCCCCTAGATTTTTTTTTAAAATCCAAACATATTATGTGTTTATTTTTGTTGCCTTCATGTTGCTTTTAGTATTTCACTTTATATCCTAGAAATGATGAATTGTAATTTTATCATTTTTTGCTCTTTATTAAGCCCATCAAGTTTCATGGCAATTGAACATTTCTTTGGTACTTTTTGTTTTACATCTGTATCTGATTGCCATATGAAATGTTAAATTTGAAAAGGCTGTGGGATGTAAGTCCATATTGTTCCTTCAATACCCTCTCCTTGTAAATTCACTTCTGCTCATTGTCATTACTTCTGTTATTTAATCAGTTGAAGCAATTTACAAGTTATTTCAGCTAATCCACACCTGCCCACTTCTACCCAGAAGTTTGCCCAGGTACATATTGATAGGTGCTTTACTTATTGAAATTGAGTCACAGTGTGTTAATTGCATCTTTTCAAGTGGAAACTTAGACCTTCTTAAAATCTGGCTCACTAATAAAATCATATTCTTAGGCCAGCAAAATGGCTCAGTGGGTAAAGGTGCTTTTTGCCAAGACTGACAGTATTCATATTTTGGAAGGAAAGAACCAACTCTGACCTCCACATGCATGTTGTGGTGTTCATGTGTGTATATACAGATATACACACAAAAAATAATATATTTTAAAAATCATGTTCTTCCACAAACAGAAAAATAAAAAATCTATGAACACTGTTGGGCCAGATATTAAGAGTTCAAAATAGCAAAGGGAATTGGCTCAGCAAGTAAAGGTGTTAGCTGCCAACCGTGGCAATCTGAGTTCAAATCCCAGGATTCACATTATGCATGGAGAGAACCAATTCCTGTCAAAGTGTCCTCTGACCTCCACATGGCACAGTGGCTCATGCTCATAAGCACGCAAGCACGCAAGCGCGCGCGCACAAACACATACACACACACAATTAACTAAATACTATAACATTATTAAAAGAAGAGAGGCCAGATGTATTCAGAAGGCTTCACTGGAGAGGCTGAAGCATGGGAATCTTGAATTCAAGGTCAGACTTGACTGTATAACAAGTTCTAGGCCAGCTTAGCATACATAGTGAGCCTCTGTGTCATCTTTAAAAAAAAAAAAAAGGCAACCCAGAAATAAAAACACCACTGGAGATACTTGGTTGTGTTATATTTTTAGTCTTAAAAAAACAAACAAAACAAACAGACAAAAAAAAAAAAAAAAAAAAAAAACCTGCCATAAAAGAGTGTCTTCAATAAAGAATATTATGGATCAGGTGACTTTAGGAATCTGAGAGAGAGTGAACAGGAGTGACAAGCTTTTCCTCTTTCTTCTTCATATCTCTCTAAAAATTTATACTAAATATATACTAAAATATATAAAATGCTAGAGGGTGTATATGGGTTTGTTATATGTGGCCCTTTTCCCTGTCCTAAGTTCTTCACACTTCACAGCACTAGTTTGAAAATTACAGTGATAATACAATGTGCCTAGCATGCTTCCTTGTAGTTAGTAAAGTGGGTAAAGATTTATTTAATCTTTCTTAAATTTCTGTTAAATTTTGTTGACAAACCATGGAGGAGGTTGTCAGGGATTGCCAGTGAGTTGGCTTATGGTTTTCCTGGTCCCCACCCTCCTCCTTCCTGCTTAGATCTATTTTATTACTGCTGGAAGTAGAGAAAACTTAGTGTAGGTCACTTATGTGAGTAGTATCACAACTGGGTTTCCTTTATCTGAAATGCTTAGCGGTAAAAGGGTTTCTGACTTCAGGGGTTTGTGGGGTTTTTGTATTTCTAAAATGTTGGTATTGCTGATCCAAAAACAAGTGTGAAAGCTCCGAAACCCAATACTGAGTGCTAACATATTACTCCAAACGTTTTATATTTTGAAATTTGTGTTTTTAGATCAAGGATGGTTAACCTAAAATTTAAAAAAGATAAAAGGGTATTTTTGTTTTGTTGACACAAAGGAATGTGCATATTTACAAGGTTCAGTGTGACACACACACACACACACACACACACACCCTTTCCAGCAAAATCATGATTCATATGTACTGTTTTCTAGGAAGAATTCCTCAATCAGTTGTTTTATTGTATAGCTGACGCTCAAGTCACTGTGTGTGTGTGTGTATTTATTTATGCTGGCAAGTGTGGCTTTTGAGGTTCTCCTTGAATATACTCGTCATAGTAAAAATTACTTCAGAATATGGAGATAGTTATTTATGAGGACTTAATAGCCTTCACTGTTCTCACAGTCTGTTTTTAAATTCAAACTAAGTCAAAGTTACTTGTTTGAAAACAGGAAACTTGGTATGTAGGGGTAAGTGGTTTTGAAAATAGAAAGAAACAGTGTCTTGCTAAAATCCATGATCTCATGAGGGTTTGGGAATTTACTTTCCTTATTGCCATTATGAGTGCATTAGTATTTTATGTCAGAGTTCTTTTTTTTTTTAAGTCAGTGATTGTTATAGAATAGATTAGAAGGCCTCTACCCATTCTTCACATTTTCTTTGTTTTTTGTTATTAAAACTTTCATTTTCTTTCAGATTGAAGTGGTGCCATGCAGCAAGAAGCAGAGAGATGCAGAGTTCGAACCAGAAGACCTGACATGGCACTTTATATACCTAAAGCTCGAAGAACCATAACAGTCCTCAAGTCAGGTGACAAGGAGGAAAGCAGTAGGCCTCCTGCCTTTGTGGTCAAAGAACAGAAGGAAGCTTGTGTTCCCCAGAAGATCTCTGGAAATAAACCTGAATCTCAAAGACTAAGTGGTCATTCTGATAGAAAGGAGTGTGACTGGAGGGAAGGAAAGAGATCTTCATCAAAATTAAGGAAAGATGGGTGCCTTCAGAAAAAGAGTAAAGATAAGGTTTGTTCTAACAGAGAAACTGAAGAATCCAAAGAAGCCTCAGCCCAACAACATCAACACAGAGCCTCCAATGCTGTGATTATATCTAACATACCTTTAAGAAGACTTTTTAAACCAAAGGAAATGGAGTGTTTAGAAGTTCACACTGCGGGAGTGACAGGACAGCAGGGGTTGCATCCATTGTCCTCTTGCTCAGAAGACAGTGCTGCTCAGGTTCCAAACAGACCAATCCAGAATGTGGAACTTTGTGATTTCAGTGGGGAAACTTTTGTAAATAGAAATTTGGAAAGCAGAATTGAAACCGAGGCCAAAGTTATGGAGTTAGTCTCCCAATTTCCTCAAGTTGTCACCACTATGCTGAAACCAGAGGGTATGGCTATACCAGCAATGCCAAGTTCTGATTCCGAAACTGCACCATACAGTGTGGGAACATCTGATGGAGTGACAAAGCACAGGCCTGGGAGCATCTGTGCAGTGTCTGTTCCTGGAAGTCCAGATGATGATGTTGATCCAACTTTTTTAGACTTTGAAGTTGAAAGTAAGGATACAGTCAACAGTAGAGAGTCTGTCTTGGGTCAGAAAGATGTAGATTCCATTCCTGGGCCTGTGGGTAACGTTTCTCCTAAAATGGTTATAGTCAGCAAATTAGAGAGCACAAATGACATTATTGACCCAACAGTGACTAGAGAATGTGACAGTAACAGCTCTGCTGATGAGTTATGTATGAAGAATGAACCTTCTGATACCACTGTTCATGAAATCGACACAGACAGTGGATTTCAGAATGTATGTGACACTACTACTAGCAAGGCATGTGTGGTGGACATTGCAGGTACAGTTTGTGGTCATGTAACTGCAGGCAGCCCTTGGAGAGTTTCAGTTAGAGGTTCTGATGAGAGTAGTGACAATACAAGTAATTTCTCAGATTACATAGAAATGATTACAGATGTAGCCCCTCTTGATGCAGCTAAAAGTGAGAATGACTCTAAAAACATTAGCAGCCTGACTGCCTGCTCAGATATTTATGCTGAGAGTATTGCATCTGGTTTTACAGAGTCAACAGGAAAGTTGATAGAGAATATGTCAGATTGTGCTTCCTCTTTACTCATAAAGAAGATTGCTGATAGCAATTGTACCACTGCTTTGGACTCTGAGCTGAGTGTGTCAAATAGGACAGAAGTACTTTTGGAGAGTGCCTTGGGCAGTGATCTGGAGACTACTGAGGAGATAACAGAGGCATTGCTTAAACTAAGAACTGCTGAAGAGTTTAAAACAAAAGAGGAAGATGATTCAGAGAGTACAGTGTGTGGTGTATCGTTTTCTGATAGAGAATCACCTCTGGAATCATCCGTAGCTCTAAAAACACCAGACCCTTCTCATGAACAAGGAAATATTGCTGTGGAGGAAAGCTGGGAATCAATGTTTAATGATGATGGTGATTGTGTAGATCCACGTCTTCTGCAAGAGGTATGCTCCGTTGAAATTACACGGTGTTTAGACAGTCTAGAAAGTCTAGATTTGGAAGTATTTCTGATACACATTCTATATATTCATTCATTTTCTCACATTCAGTTAAGAGCTCTTGGAATAACTATAGCCTGATAGAATTATACTTTGAGAAAGGAATATCTAATAGATATGGAAAAGTTAAAACACACATAATCCTCCTATGTTTGTAATTGCTGAGTCCTAAAATGTGTTATAATGAATAGATTAAATATGAATTTAATGGATTCTGACTGCTCATTGAGGAAATACATAGAAGGAACTTCAAAAATATTTTTCTGTGTTGACAACATGTATTTTTATATGAGCCATTTGGGGAAAGAAAATAATTTATAATTTAATTGTTTATTTTTTTATTTTTTAGTCAATTTTGGAATGTTGAAAACTGTAGAAGGAAGTAAAGAAGGGAATGAAAGAATAGGACTATTAAGAAGTTGATACTGAGTAAAATTGAATACATGTCTGCTGAGTATATATAAGGAACTATACGTGAATAATGATGGCTGATTAGAGTTTATATATACATATATATATCTATACACACACACACACAAAACGTGTCTTGAAGGCATTGTAGAAATTCTTGAGTTCTACATTCATTTTCATATTTTAACATTTATTCTCTCTGCTATTTAAATTCTTTATTATAAATTAGAGCCACTGTTTTTAAATAGAGAACCACTTTCTCTTTCTTTTCTTAGAGAGGGTTCATATGACTTTGGTCTGGGAGGGAGAAATGGTTTGTTTATGATACCCCCAGGTGGTTGTCTTGACATCAGGATTTCAGTGCTGCTCTGTCATTGACAGTGAAGATGTTATTTACACTTACGTTCTTTCTAACAGACCATGTCTTCGCCTAAAAGGTTTTGTTTGAGCCACTAAAGAGCCTTTTAAATGATAAATGATGAGTTTGTTGTTTGTAAGAATTAAATCAGGTATATGGAAAAATAGCACACATCTGTGAAGGGGACCCCAAGACTGAAGAGGACAGCGTATTGGACAAAACTGACTTTCCACTGTCAAGCACTCCTTCATGTTTACACTGAGTTTACGTCATGTTTACTTGATGTTTACACTGAGTTTCATCATTATTGTAACGAGTGCTTCCTAATAACAAGTCAGAAAAAATCTTAAACATTCTTAGAATGAAATACAGAAGGGAGAGTAGTTGCAATTGAACACCCAGGATCCTTTGAAGTTACATAGAATTGCATATGTACAGTGCATTTCTTCATAGCCTTCCTTCATCAGATTCACAGAGGTGCTGAGTAGTTCATTGAGAATGATATATGAACCATCAGGATAAGTATCATCTAAGAAACTCTTAGAATTGCATATTTTTTAGCCCAACAACTTATCTGTTAAGTTTTTCAAGTAGTTCTGAAACATAAAATTTTACAGTATTTGCCCAGAGATCCACACACCTTAAATGTCTGTCAGAATGTGACTGGGGAACTACTGTTGGTGGTAGTTATAAAATCACTATCAAACAGGAGTTTGCAACCCAGTTCAGGTTAGGAAATACTAATGATAGAGGAAGTTAGCTGAATGGAGACAACTTACAAAGGTTCGGATCATTGGGAAAGAATCTAGTTTGAGAAAGGAAACTGTTAGAGGAGGTAAAAAAGGCCAACTTGATACTGAGAAAGAGTAACTTCTTGCAAAAGGCAGCTGAGCTGTGCACACATGGAAGTACTTAATAACTGTTGGAGAATGGAAATGACCGGTTAGAACTGGGGTCCTTCATTTTTTAGGTTGGCCTCTACCAACTTTTAAAACATCATTGTTGTCAGGACTTGGATTCTTGTGGATTTCGGTTTCATTTGTGTTTTGGAAGAAAGGATTCATACATACAACTGGGTCTTTCACATCTAGGTACAAAAGAATTTAGGTAGCAACTAAGTGTTTGAGAATCATGGTAGCATAATGAGAGGACTGGCTGACTAAATGCTGGGGATACCAAGAAAAGGGAATATATAATGCTTTAGGCAGAATACAGCTAGTGCCTGTGTGTCTTTGGCAGTACTTGAGGAAGAGTAGGGCTATGTTAAGGAATGAGGGCAGATGAAAATAGAATGAATCTGATGGGCAGTAGACCCAAGCCTCCTCTGGATTTTGAAGGCTGCCATGAATCTAATATCTTAGTTTATTTTTTATATTACTCAGACATACTTTATTAAATGCAAAGCTCTACTTTGAAAGATTTCCAACAGAAGGCTTTGGCTTTTTTCCCAGTTGGCCTGCTTATTTGTTGATAAAGCCTAGACATAGAAGCATAGTTAATGCTTCTAATAGGAAGATATGCTGGAAAGTAAGGTATGGCAACCATTGACTGATGAGTGAGACTTGAACCGCTAAAACAGGTCAAAGGAAACTAGAACATAGTTAAGTCGTGAGTGAGCTCCTAGAACTGCAACCCTTAATGCATTGTCAAAGATCACATTTCATCTTCTATTTTTATTTTACATTTTTTATTTATTTCTTTGTTAGTTTTTCAAGACAGGGTTTTTCTGTATAGCCTCAGCTGTCCTGGAACTCACTCTGTAGAGCAGGATGGCCTTAGATCTGCCTGCCTCTGCCTCCCAAGTGCTGGAATTAAAGGCGTGTGCCACCACCACCTAGCAACTGCGTTTCATCTTCTAAAACAAGGATATGCTATGCCCAGTAATTTAAACTAGTAAAAATAAAGGAGAGATTGTTAACATTATTTCTGTTAATCTCTCTAGGAATTAACTGTTTCCCAGGAAAACAACAGACAAAACATCCATAGCTCTTGCTGCCTTCTGTTATGGTCATCAGACTTATGGGTAGATTGGACAGATGAGGTACCAACAGTGCAGCACTAATGATGTTGATAGATGTTGGCCTTGCATACCTTCATTGGCCATATCCAGTCCTTAAGTTTTTTGCATAGATAGGTAGTCTTCCATTTTATAGTCTTTTTGTTACAGAAAGCCACTTACCTTGCATAACCATGAGATTTGGGGACCAAAGTAAAGGAGTTGCACCCATTTCCACCCAGTGTATTAACTGGCATTCTGACATCCTCTGTCTCCTGCAAAAAAAAAAAAAAAAAGTCTATTTTAAGTAGAGAGCCCGTTAGAAAAAACTTGGACTGGCTGTTCTTCCAAAGGTTCTGAGTTTAACTCCCAGCAACTACATGATGGCTCATAACCATCTATAATGAGATCTGGTGCCCTCTTCTGGCCTGCAGGCACACATGCAGGCAGAATACTGTATAAATAATAATATTAATAAAAATCTTTAAAAAAAAAAAAACAGAAAAAACTTACAGTTCAGCCACTTCCAAAGACATTAAATAGCAAATATTAAACACTTGGAAGTTTTGGCGCCATAATTGCAAATAGGAAGCTGTTACTTTTGTTGCTTCATTAAAGGCTTTTGTGCTATATGCTGGCTATGTTCTAAAAATGCTTATATTTTATTTAGAGAGAAAATATGTAATTATATGATCATACAGCCACATAGCAATCTGAAGGATAATTAATTTAAATCAGTGACTAAAACAGCCACTCAAGGGATGTATTGACAATCTATTTGATTGTCTGATAAATGACACACTGATCCTAGAAAGACTAGATCTTCCATGGTTAAAACAGTTTGATTCTGGTCAGGCCATAGAGTTAAGAAAAAGATTATAGTTCTTTCTTTCTTCCGTTTTATTCTGAGTTTCTAACTTCTTTCTCCTGTTTTGTTTTTTTTTTAATGAATAAAGCATACATTTTCCATGTCTTTTTATTACTGTTTCTATTTTTACAGTGTTTTTTTTTATTAGTTTCAGCTCATCTTAACAGATTTCACAGTTTATATTTTTATAAAACTTTCTAAACTGATAGGTTATTTGCTACCTGAATGGGAATTTGTAGAGACTTCTTTCAGTTCTGTGTTCTGCCATCATCACATGGACCATCCAAAGGTGAACTTGATTGAATTGTCTGCCTTGTTCGGTGTGTTAGTGCATGGTGATTAGAGGTCCCTGGTTCACATGAAAAGAGGGAAGTAAATAGATCCCTTTGCATTGTTTTTTTCAAACCAGATAATTCCTAAAATTAAAAAACACCTTTCTGAATGTTGTTGGATCTGGTGAGTGATGTATTCTTCTGAGTAATGCACAAGCTAGTAACACTTTAATTCTGACCTGTTTCAAAATTGAGGAAAAGGAAACGGTTCTGATTCTGTATTGTCAGCATAAGGAGGCTTTCTCCTTGTGATTCTCTTCTGAAGCATCAGATTCGTGGTGTTCCCTGTTCTGTGCGTTAGTGTACTTTTCTTCAGCAAACTCTGTATGTGTATGTGGGTTGTGGTTGGGGCAGATGGAGGTGTAATAGTGACCTGACTTATAATATTTATTCCATTCAGTTTATTATTTGTTCAAGGACACTAGCAGGGAGGAGAGGCAAGCGCTGGCCAAGAATCTATTTCTTTGTCCTTGTCAGAAATAAATAGACAACAACTTACCTGAAATTAAAGATCAATTTATGTTGAAAGCTTGTTTAAAAAGAAAGTATACTTTTAGGAAAATTTAATCTTGTGTAAGCTTGGATTTTAATTAATTTATAATTCATATTAAAAATATGGGTGAGTTAATCTGTTGCTGGGTTTAAGAAAGGAGTGACCAGCTATAGGCATGACTGCTCAAATGATAATGGATAATCTAACTATATTCAAATTCAGCATTGTGTTTTATTGAGATAACTCTGAAGTGTGGGAAGATGGAGATTTGCATGAGGCCTAGAACTGAGACAGAGGAATGTGAGTACTAATCAGTAATCTTATATGGATCTTTGTATGGACTGCCTAAAGGCTGGGATGATTAAGAAAAAAAAAAAAAAAAACCAAAGAGATTCCAGGCATACTGGATACCATATAAAGACTAAATAGCTAATACCTCATGCTGTTACACTGCTTTCTTGGATTAAGATTAGCTTTTTTTCCTCAAA